AAAAAATGGGGGATGGATTTTGCGAAACACGTTGGCTCCAAAATAGCGCCTTGAAACAGCCAGAAATATGCATGTCTCGATATCTTAAGCGTGTTTCTCCGAATTTCCGCTTGCTTAAAAGCTTCAAACTACAGCTTCCTTATTGACTTTGATAAATCGGGTATAACCGAACACCGCACTTACACTGATTTGAGGTGGATTCCATTTTTCACGATGGGCTTAATGTCTTGTAGTCGATTCCCTTCCGCATGACTGTAAAACACGAAAACGTTTAGATTGCTTCTTAATTAGACTCCTTAATTAATGCTCACACTTAAAAGCACACCATTCTCCCTCATCCCATCAACCAAAGCGGTTATTCTTAGTGCTCTGTATAAAGACTTTTACAATTGTGATTTTTCCTGTGCGCAGGAGTAAAAAATGATTATCAACACGATTCAATGTGATTTTCTGAAGAAAAAATGAACAAAGCCAGAAAAGATGAGAGAATATGATCAAAATTGCACCCATGTACATTTTCAGTGGGCCCTGCCGCTAAGGCCATTTGTGTGCAAGCTTGCATAATCATGAATTTTTAGTGAAAGGTCTACTGAGATATATCCTCAGATCTCCGTTTTCAGTAAGAACAATGCAGATCTCTATGCAGATAAAACCGCTTTTACAGGCAACAACAACATAGGGCTCTGCGTGGGTTATTCCATTTTGTCAAGCAGGGAAAACGCTTGACTGGAGGGACCGTGACCTAACTTTGGCTCATATTAAATTGGCATGTGTTTCAAACAGATGAACGTATAAACCCCTCGATGAAATGTTATGACTTTCCAAAACCAAAACCAAAGCCCAAACCAAAACCAATGCCCAACCCCAACCCAACCCAACGCAAACCCAAACTTATATCCATATTACATTTTACTTACAGAAATTTCACGGACTCCGGCAATCCAAAGGGTTTCTCGATCAAGTTGTTGGTTAAGTTTCTAAGTGGGAAAATAAAGCGAAACGACGGATCCCTTGTCACTGCAACCAACCGTGCTATTGGGAATGAGGGACAGTGTGAATGTGGAACTATAGCCTTTCCAGAGTGGGAAAAGGACACATTTAACAAAAGGGGACGTGAAATGTAAAAGATTGGGCACCTTAAAAAAAAAAAGCAAACCNTTGTAGTAAGCGATCAAAGAGTCTGATGCTGGTTGAATACAGGCGATTCACAATAGTGCCCCTCCAAGAGTATGCAATGCGTTGGCCAACCACAACACGCGAAATCTGTCGACCCTTTCCACACGTGCATTGGGTCGACAGATTTCGCGCGTCGTGATTGGCCAACGCGTTAAAACCTCCTGGATGCGCACGATTGTGAATCGCTCGTATTGAAATTATAATTTCGGTTTTGGTCCGTTGTACATTACTCAGATGGCCCCCCGCATTAGTTCCCTTATAACAATAAGTACTGGGCCCACAAAATCAAATTCGAAACTTACATTTTGATCAGGGACTTGAATTCCAGCAAACTATCATAAGGTATCTCATGCAAGAAATTGTCTCCCAGTTCGCTGTTTAAAGAGAAGTAAGAACTTTAATGCAAAGTATAAAAATAGAGGAATCTGTGTGTATCCGAACACCTGTTTGTGACTTGCTCGCTCCAGCGAGTTAATTACATGCCAACTCCAAGAACACAAGTCTTTGAACACCGATACCTACAATTCGTGATGTATTTTCTCTTCCTCCTGATTTCAGACTTGGTTCACCAAACATTAATTTATGTATAGACCTCTTTTTTCACTATTTGTGCATTCAGATAAATTTTCCTTTCTTCAAAACGCACCTTTTCTAGCCATATTTGGTATTTAAGAAGGAGGTATACTTTCATTTTGCAATCAGTTGTGCATGTACTATTATTTTTGCCACTTTGACAATTGAGCGATATATTTTTGACATTTTATTCCTCTTGCTTTTAACGCCCACCTTTTCTTTGCCGATCCCTGGTAAGCCTATTAACTGCCACTGTCAAGTGAAAAGATGTCAGTGCACCGTCATACTTACAGCGACACAGTGTCATTGGGGATGCCCGAGGGTAGTTCTCTGAGGCCTTTGCCCGTACATATGACGGCGTGCAGATGCTCGATACACTCGCACACACCACAGGCGTCCCCCGTTGAGTTCATCGCGACCACCGAGGCCGCGAAGGTGAAAAGTAGTACCAGACAGACCATGATCGACGTATCCATAATATGTCCTCCGTCTGCGTTAATGCTGCTAACTAAAAAGCGAGGCGTTTTTTATACGGCGTGCAGGTGGCATGATGCGATCACAAATTTACTGCAGGCATCGTGTTTAGAAGGGTATTCCCCTTGTGTCTACCGTTAATGTCGTTGCCCGAAAGCTTATTTTTCTACAAGTTTCTATGAATATGTTGTGTTGTTGTGATGTATTGACGCGTTTACCTGGTGTTTTGCAATCACAAAGAACTTTCCTGCAGGTGTTCCAGTACAGGACGGGAAGGGTATTCCCTTTGCGTCAAAATGAATTGTTCAATTGAAAGTAAAATGCCAATACACTGCAACGGTATTGTCAATGCGGGAGTTATTGTTCCATACACCAATCTCATGCTTCGTGAGAATCTGTGAGGCCCGCGTTTCACACCAATCCGTCTCTGGCAATTCTGTTCCATAAGCGTTGGAAGGTTCTGGAAACTAAAAGTACAGGTGCAACAATTTCTGGATGACAGAAAAACCTGTCATCCTGACCAAGCAAGTGATTGGGAGCTGAATCTAATTCCAGAAAAGACATTTTGTGAACTGAGTCTACTGTTCAGTAATTTGAGGTTTCTATTCCACATATTTTCGCGACGAGAATCAACTTGCGTCCCTCGCTGTTTCGCCTGTTTCCAGCAATTCGTTTAAGGTGAATTGGACCAGGGTTCCAGCTTATTTGCTCTGTCAAANGTTTTTTTTTGCCATCCGTGGAGACGGTGGGGGTCTGTCGTTGCGGAGCCCGCAAAAGTCTTCGCCTGCACGATAGTCTTAAGAATCTTTCTTACTTTTCTTACGCACTAACATCACCCAATAAAGGCACACTTTTGTTAAACCGTATTGCTTTTGATGTGTTAAAATTTTTAATTATCTAACCACATTGTTTCTTTGAGCATTGTAATTTCTTTTTGATTTTCTGTTGCATCCATGAAAATTAAAGCTTTTGGGATCATTTGCATTTACTAATAGTTTGGAGATTTTAGGGGATATGGAGAAGCGCTGCAAAAGGGAAAACATACCTAGACGATCTTCCTCCTATATGTATTACACCTACTGTGTAATGAGTGTAGACTGTACATTTGGTGTCTAAATCAAATCTAAATTAAAAATTACATAGAAAACAAGAGAAACTATTCATGTAAGTATGAACAATACCGGTAGTGAATTATAGTGAGTAATATTTATGCTAACACCGGAAAGTCATCCCCGACCTGGTTAAGATACAGATTGATAAATGGGATTCATAGAAGAAAAAAAAACACAGTGGATTACAACTTTACGAACTTTACCGAAATTTAAAGATCAATTCGGTTCGTTTTTCCAACGAACCGTTTTTTCAGGTCAAAAGTGACAAAATGGTCTGGAACGAATTACATACTTTTGCCAAGCTGCATGGACCATGTCAAATCGTATCGTATAGTCTACATTCACCAAGTCCGTGAGGTACAAAATGTGCAATCACACAATCGTAATTGGATTCACTTGTAAGTTGATTATGTGTAACCTTAAATTATGCATGTTGTTAAACATTATATTGGTTCTCAAGTGAAGAGGTTCTATAGCTCTATGGTTCGGCAATGTGCACAAGGACCTATCCCGTAAACCATCTACGCTTGCTTCGTGTAGCTTGTGGTAAAATAACCTTTCGGGAACGTTCAGTGCAACCTCGGATCCCATGTGCGTGTACGTCTTCCACCAATTGCGGAGTGCGTTGCATTGCGTTATTGCGCAGTACCGCTTCATACTGGTCACGCCGGCTTGTGATTAGTTTGATGGCAGATTGGAGGCGATGAAGAATTTTAAAAAGTAATATTTGGAATTAGTTGATTGAGGGAGTACTGCGGTGAAGGGCTGTAGGATTTTGTGGCCCATGTATTGGTGGCATACATGCACGTGGCGTGGCGGCGTGCTGTCTGCCTGTACGGGTGCAGCTATGGTGAAGGATAAATTGTGTATTACACTGGTCTTAAGGTTTTCCTGGCAGTGAGGAATAATTCAACTGGAAATGGATAATTGTTTAATGAGGGTTGTCAACGACTTTTCTTTCTGTTGAACTAGAATGTCTGCGTAGGTTATACTGCATACTGGTGCATTTAGGGACATTACGAATGACAGTGTGTGCAAGTTTGGTTAGCCAGTGGCCGGGGTTGGCTTGAATACTTGCGTTTCTTCCTTGATGCCCAATATAGACACTGTGCCTACATAAGCACACTGTAGTCACGGTACCCTTCCCTATAGCCGAGTTTAATGACATATTGTCGTGTTTGATAGTTCATTGTACACAAAGATGCCCAGTGGCCGAGCTTACCCTGTAAACCATCTTTGTCAATATGCAACATAGGCGCTGTGCCCTGGTCTCTGAAAACTGAGGGTCCTACGAAAACTTGAGGGCTCTTAAAATAGCAAAGTGAAACAGAGGCAAACGCGTGAAGTGTCTTAATAGCTTCACGGTTTTCACAGAATTTCCAGTTGTTGAAGCTTTAGCCTTTGTTCAGCACAGCAACGTAGGCCTGAAGTAATGAGGCTTCAACTCTACCCAGCTCTATGAAATTGGTGATAGTAGGCCTATGCGTAAATCAGAGAATGGCTTACGAAGCTGTTATGCTGGGGCGAAACGGAACACTTGATACGGCCCTGCGCTGCTAAGAGCTAAAAAAAGGTCGGTGACGTGTTTTTTTTTTTTTTTGGATTCCGGTACAACACAAGATATATTTGAGGACACTACCAATTAACATAGTTCTGGCTCAATACTGCACTTACGCTAATAGTAGATTGATATCATTTTTCACGATTGGCTTGATGTCTTGTAATCGATTCCCGTACGCGTTACTGCAAAAACACGAAAGCGAATTGTTGGTGCTTTAGATGTGAATGCGGCACCAAAACCAGTCTGGTTCCGCTCATCGCAACAACCCTGGCTGTACTTGTATGGAAAATCATGGGCATAAAGCATTAAGATGGCGATAAATTTATTGTGTTCACCGAAGGCATTTACATGAACTTGAGAACGCATTTTGGTGGCGTAAATTCACTCCGTACAGAAACATAATCAAACAGGTAACAGACGTTAGTTCAATTCTTTGTTATGGTCTGATTACCTCTTGTTTCCCAGTGTACTGAGTTGTTGATTGTTTTTCTGGTAATAAATCACTTGTGCTTACTTGGTACCAGTACGATTACATTTAATATTAATATTATGCACATACGTGCAACGAGGCCACTGCTCGTCTACTATGCTGCCCGAGAGAACATGAAAGACCAAAGGAAGGTCATACTTCTCGAGGTCGAAGGTATATGATACGAACAACAAAATGTTATTACTTTGTGCAGTAGCTTATAACCATGTCACATTTTACTTACACTATTCTAACGGACTCTGGCAATTCAAAGGGTTTCTCGATCAGGTTGCTAGTAAGGTTTCTGGAGATGAAAAGGAAGCCAAACGGTACAGCATCTCTTATTACCACCAACCCTCGTAGTGAAATGTTGGGAGGCGTCAGTGGAATGTAGAATGAAAATTGTCCAAAGTGGGAATACATGGTAAAGGTTTTCCCGGGAAAGAAAAGGGCAGTTAAACGGACAAGGCCAAATTAAATGGAAAACACGGGGAAAAAACTCCTACTCCATGAGAAGAACAAAAAAATGTACCAGTTTCAAGAAGACCGATAAATTCAATTTCTATTGGTTTTAAGAGACCGTCCCGTTGGTTGGCTTACATAGCGGGCCTAGCGGTTGACTAAGTACCTGCTCGAATGAGGCACGTTTAACATAATCATCATGGATAGACGTGTGTTTGAAATAACTGCAGTAAAATTGTTGGACAAAGTTGTTTTGAAAACTTGGTCTGAAGTTCTGATTCCAAAGGCATTCATAAATGATGTACATGATGCAAGTAACCACTCGTACCATGATTTTCGTCAAAAACAAAAATTATTTTGGGTAGTACCCAATTGAATTAAAAACTTACATCTTATACAGGGACTTCAATTCCAACAAACCGTCGTAAGGTATCTCATGCAAGAACTTTTCTCCCAGTTCGCTGTTGAGAAAGAAACAGGGACTTCAATGCAAAGCAAAAATAAGTCAGATATCTGCGCCTTGCAACACTTTTTTCATGTGAAAGCCCGAGAAAACGCAGTTGTCTACTGTAGTAGGTTTTTGAACAACGGCGCTTCAAAATTAACGATAAAAATTTCTCCTTCGGGATCACTGGCCATATTAAATACATCTACTAGCTTTCCCGAACATTTAGATTGAGTAACATTATGTGCGGTTGGACCATGCAAAGAGATCGCCTGCGGGAATACCGTTGGTCTTAAAAGAACCGGCGGAGGAAAAATGCTTTGCTTCAATTTCTTTCCACTTTGGTACAAGGAGGTAGGCCTAATTTTCATTTCGTGATTAGCAGCACACGAATTACTGTCATTTGCTGCTTTGGTGGCTGCTTGACATATAATTGTGGAAAAATTTGTTTGCTTTTCCACTGATCATAGTTTGCAGACCTTTGCTGGGCTAAACCACCACCGTGATACTTTAACCATACTGACACAGTGTCTTGGGAATGCCCGAGGGTAGTCCCCTGAGGCCTTTGCCTGTACATATGACGGCGTGCAGATGCTCAATACACTCGCACACATCACAGGCGTCCCCCGTTGAGTTCATCGCGATCACCGAGGTCGCGAAGGTGAAAAGTAGTACCAGTAGTAGGGTTTGCCGATTCTGGACCACACGCCCTTTTTCACCCCCTTTCACCCACCACACGCACCGGGGATTCCCACTCACCTTTTGACCCCGGCTCACTTTGCCTGTAAACAACTCGTGACCAGCGCCGGGGATTTCCACTTCACTGACCTTGAGCTTTTGACCCCGGCTGTAAACAACTCGTGACTGGCACCGACCTGCACCAGCAATCACAAACAAAAAGGGATTTCCCCTTGCTACAAGTCGAGACTTGCCCGACCTGAACTCGTGACGTCTACTTAAAGCATGGCTCTGTTCAAAGCAAAACACGCTATATTTACAACCGCCTTAAATAAATGACCTATATATT